TAGCCCAGGCTGGCCTCGAACTCACAGAGATCCGCCTGCCTCTGCCTCCCGAGTGCTGGGATTAAAGGCGTGCGCCACCAACGCCCGGCTGAAATGGGTTAATTTTAATTTAAGTTATAAGAGCTAGTTAGAAACAAGCCTAAGCTATAGGCGGAGCTTTCCTAATTAATAATAAGTCTCCACGTCATTTTTTGGTGAGCTGGTGGTCCAAAGCAAAAGCCTGTTACAATGTGCATGTTTGACTTTTATCCCCTTTGCATAAACATTTACAGTGCTTGCATTTACACCTCCACATACTGGTAAAACAGGGACACCTGAGCAGGAGATGACAGGATTCAGTGAGAAACAAGTCAGTGATTCTCAAGTCCAAGTTCACTGGCCTGTCCTCGGTTGGCTGAGGTCGACATTCCTTCTGTGAGGGAGAGGCAGGGAGCTGCACTCCTTCTAGGGGCAGGCTCTGGAGCCAGACCGTCTGGGCTCACATGTCAGACCGGCCAAACTCTGGGCTCTGAGGCAAGTTACTTCCCTTCTCTCTGCCTGAAGTTCCTGTCTCTGGGGGTAGTAAGTCCTGGTCTCACAGCTCAGTGTGAGGATTGAGTGAGGTAATTAATATGCACAAAGCACGTAGACTATGGCTCAAACACCAGGTGTTATTTCTAGAATCATTAATCCTAGATTTTGGAGCCTTGGCCCCAGCTTTGAACCACCAGGGGGATTTTTTTTTTCTAGACCACAAACAGCTGGATTGTACTCAATGGGTCTTGGAGGCGCCTAGTCCTTACAGCTGAAAAGCACCTTTACAGGCCAATCTGGTAAACAGCCATGTTTGGAAACCACTGAGAAAGTGCTTGTCATTGGTCAATGAATTCCCACCATAAGGGCTGAGGACAGTGCAGGCAAAGAGGTTCAAATTGATTTTTATAAGAATCATTTGCAAAATGAAATTGTTTAGTTCTTTTTCCTGATCTAGTTTCCCTATCTCTGTGTGTCCTATGTGTTCATGTGTTCCTATGCATATTCACATTCCTGCCTTTGTGTGTGTGTGTGTGTGTGTGTGTGTGTGTGTGTGTAGGACAGGGGTGGACATCAAGTGTCTCCCTTAGCTGCTCTCCATCTCCTTGTGGAAACGGGGTCTCTCCCTGAGCATCGAGCCCACTGACTGCCTAGGCTAGCCTGTCAGCGATCCCTAGTTGATTCTGTCCCCCACCCCCACCCCCAAAGCTGGGTTTAGGTTTGAGTGGCCATGATTTTCCTCGGGTCCACACTCAGGTCTTTGTGCTTGCATGGTAAGTCCTTCTTCAGTGACGGAGCCATCATCCCAGTCTCTGGATCCGGTTGTCACTGTGTCTCCATTTAGATGACATCTTAAGCCCTGTGTATTAAATTACCACCCACAAGAGAGGAGAAGGGTGAAGGACCAATCCTGTGTAATAGACACGATGCAAGGAGAGCATGGATGGGGATGAGATCGTCCTCATTCGCTACAGATGGGAAATGGCTTTTGAAGCCTGGGGTTGACTCCAGTTTTTCCACTGTCTTCTGGGGGACCTAAGCTGCTGCTTAGGACTTAATATTTGCCTCACCACTGAGTGACCTTCCTATGCAAAACACAGGGAGAGAGAAGGATCCAGTGACTAGACCAGGCTGAGAGTTCCTGGCACAGAGATTTGTAGGAGGCAGAGGTAGGTGGATCTCTGAGTTCAAGGCCAGCCTGGTTTATGAAGCAAGTTCCAGGACAGCTAGGGATACACAGAGAAAACCTGTCTCGAAAAACCAAAACAACAACAAACAAACAAACACACAAATACATAATTGAACTGGGGTAATACTTCTTGTTTCTAGTTGTCTTGCCTCTGGGTGTATCTTCCTTTCTGGTTGCTGTATGGGCGGAAGTGGGGCTGAACGGGTGACTGTTTCTTCTCCATGTCTCTCTCCAGTGGCCTTGTTTAATCTCTAGGGTCCCTTGGGTCTCCAGTGGGTGCAGAAGTGGGAGGGGCGTCACTTAGAGATGAACTAAGACAGTGGTTCTCAACCTTCCTAATGCTATGACCCTTTAATACAGTTCCTCAGGTTGTGCTGACCCCCAACCAAAAAATTATTTTGTGGCTACATTATAACTGTAATGTTGCTACTGTTAGGAATTGTAATGTAAATATCGGATATACAGGATATCTGGGGTTACATGCAATTCCTGTGAAAGGGTCATTGGATTCTGTAAAGGGTCGAGACCCACAGCTTGAGAACCACTGAGCTAAGGATGATATTACTCTCTCAGCTAGCCCCAAGTTGAATGGGCTCCTATGTACTCAGACAGGTTTTCTTTCCCCTGTGGATCCAGTAGAGAGACATGGTTCCCAGGAAAGCGAGGCTCAGGGACGATTTCAATAGGGGTAATCAGAGAAAGATACCATGCCATAACCTGGGTGGACTCCTAAGGCTGTGGGATGAATCCATTCCTCTTTATGGGCTTCTCAAATTCTTTGTCTCTGCAGTCCCTGGCTCTCAGGCTGACCTTTGAAGATGGTATCAACCCAGACTCCACACATATGACTTTGTTGTTTAGTTAGGGAGAGTGTGGCATCCCAAAGTCCATGTCCCCAAAGACCACCAAGAGACCCATCCGAATGCAAAAGCAAAGAGTCTTTAATTCTCGAGTTTAAACTCAGGCCCCTCATCCGTCCATCACAACGGTGGAGTGAGAGGGACCCCACACAGTAACAGGATGGGATTTTTATTGTGGCTAGGGTCAGGGGTCTTGTGGGATTCCAACTCTATATAGTTACAAGCTCAGGACTAGTGCTTACTTCAGGTTAGAGACGCTTGGTTTGAACTTATGGGAGAGTTGTAGCTGCGAGGAAATTGCCATAGCCTCAAGCAGTTTATGTTATTGGATCTCTATTACCAGCAGACCCATTTCCTCTGACAGTCAGACATCCCATGTTTATCTGCAGGAAACTCATTCCCTCTGACAGCTGTGGTATACAATCTATAACAGCAGAAGACATCCCACAGGACATACCTGGTGCTTCGTTTAGTATGCCAGTTATGTTATATCATAGCCTTTAGATTATGGCAGAAAATGTCTGGAACTTGTTTCTGTACAGCTCCTAATTGTCTGGGTCTAGGGTCGGAGGGGCAGCCCATCCTCTGGTGGGTTTCCCAGGGCCTGCTGCCCCCTGTCTGGCCCTTCTCTAAGATGGCTGCAACCCTGTCATCCTCTCAGGAGCATCTCAGTGAGGAGGGACAAAGTCAGATTGGCTTCGGGCAATGACTCCTTGTCCTCTTTTAGGTTCAGGGGTGGTAATGTCTTTCTGAGCTTTTGAAGAACATGAGGTTTTTGTTTTGTTTGCTTTTGTTTTTGTTTTAGTATCTTGATGTATAACCCAGTCTGGCTTTGAACTCCTAGGTAGCACAGGCTGGCATCAAACCTATGATTCTCCATCCTCTCACAGCTTGGGATAACAGGCGTGTGCCCTTGTGCTGGGTGAGTGGAGAGTACCATCTCTCGATTGTTTCACTGGATTTTCCTCAGTTGCTACCCTTTTGGAATCTCCTGTCTTCTCTGTCTGATGGACCAATCTGTGCTATCTAACTGTTTGGTTTTGAAGGTTTTCAGTGTTGAACACAGATATCCAGATGAAGAGCTCTGCTCCCTACCCCCGATGGCCCACCACAGTGTTTCCGGGATTCAGCCCGCACTCGACACTAGATGTCCGCTCTGCAGCTTGGTGACCCTCACTGTTCTGGGGTGTGGAGTTAATCTGGCTCAGTCCCCTTCTGCCTCAGCTCTGGACCTCTTGCTGGCCTCGGTCTTGTCCTCCTAGAGTTCCAGTGTGACACTGTGGTGGCCAGAAACATTTCTTCCACCATCTCCCCTGGAACCTGTTCAAACTGGCCTCAGGTCTCAGAGCAGCAGCTCCAGACCACTCACTACCTACCAGGTTTCAGGACATCACACAAGGATGCCCAGCTGGTACTTCCTTCACCGGGGGTCATGATTGATTAATGAGAGTACAGAAGCTTGCTATTAGAATCCCTGCTTCTTACCAACTAGCCAGGGGCCTTGGACGAGTTATAACACTCGCAGGACCTCATTTTCTTATCTGTGTAATGGAGAGCACACCGTCTCATTCCTAAAGATTTGCTATAATTTTTAGCTGAGTCAATGCTTACGAAGCACTTAGGGTAGCTTTTATGTGCCCACTCCCAACTTCTCTATAATGATTTCATTTTTAAAAACCTTTGCTGGGTCTTATCTTTTCTGGGTTGTCCCTGATCACACTCGGGTGATTCGGGTAGCAGCAGAGATCAGGAAGAGACATCATAGGAGCAGCTTACTTCTGTGGCGGTATTGTGTTCCCCAAAATATTGTGCACCCTAATAAACTTATCTGGGGTAAGAGACAGAACA